TTCGATTCATTAAAATAAACTCTTTGACCATTTTCTAAATGGACTGCAAAATGGACTACTGTAGAGTGTCTTTCATGGATCGCAAATGAAAAAATACGCCATATTGCTTCTTTGCTACTTACATATCTGGTACTGTGATATTTCATCATTTTCATTGGTTACAGCGAAGACAGCCGTTGTTAACATATTTACATATGTACTTTATCGACTTCGCAGAGTTACAATATTCTACTTTGATGTGAGTTTCTAAAGCTTTGGACAATATTAGCGAGTATGGCACAATCCAACGATTGTCTACATCAACATTTTGTCCTTTTACCTTCACAACTACCTATCGCTCATTATTCGCAACTGATCGCCGACGATACAGTGGTTATCCATCATTTCCCGTTATGGTTTCAGCAAGCAGGTCTCTTGGGTATCGCTCTGAACACTTGCCGTACATGTAGTTGAAAAGTTCGCAAAGTCCAAGTATCATGTGTTTCGTAGCTACTGCATGCAATTTTGGGTCAACTGTTTCATCTGGAATTTCAGCCAAAATTATGGAATCTATCTCATCTGGCCTTATTTTGTCCAGTAAATAGACTAATATGTGCGCATGTGGCAGTCCAAGCTTTTGCCATTCTACATGATGCATCCAACAACGGACTGGGCGATACACACAATGCTATATTAAGAAATTCATGAGAGATTTTAATTTTGTTTAAAACTCTGGCAGTTATGTCATGTCTATCAACTGGTGTTTGGCTGTAGCAATTCCCTCTTGATTTCTAACTATTTTGGGTTACTTGTGAATGTAACAAATAAGTCTGAGCGGCTATAATGCCTATCATATGACATAGCATCCTGAGTATATTCGTGCATGTGGCGTGGGCTTCCTATATGTGGTTGGCAAAATTGTCATTCTTCCCACATTATTTCATTGTCAACCGCATTTATAGCATCGCGGCGATGAATGTATTAGTGTTTGTTACATGTTGCGTGTTACTAAGGTATATGATGATGCTGCTAGAATAAGTATTGATTATCTTTTTGCCATTCAATTTGATCTACATATATGATCACCACATGTATGTATGTATGTATGTATGTATGTATGTATGTATGTATGTATGTATGTATGTATGTATGTATGTATGTTGTATGTATGTATGTATGTATGTATGTATGTATGTATGTATGTATGTATGTATGAATGCATGTATGTATGAATGTATGAATGTATGTATGTATGTATGTATGTATGTATGTATGTATGTATGTATGTATGTATGTATGTA